TTTTTTTTTTTTTTTTTGTAAAATTTACTGATCATGAATAAAACAATGGCTTAGGTGATGTGACTGAACCTCGACAATTTGTTTACGTAGTCATTAAATATACATCTAGTACTAACACAAATAGAGTCCAAAAAATTAACTGTTTGTCGACAAACTCCATAAAATCTGTACTCCACAGAATCGCAAGTAAGAAATCTATCCCATGGCTTGCACAGCAATATCCTCTTTTAGCTATTACAATTGCGCGTTTAATGCAAGTCGTATCAGACATATATGATAATAGATAAACAAATTTATTAAAAAATGTGAAATTCAAAGCAAATAAAAATTCCACGAACAGTCGGTTTCAAGCGGTTTTTAAAAGTTTGAGTACTTACAGTATTTTCAAGAAGTGTGGGGAATTCTTTTTCATTAAATGCGAGTTTTATTTGTAATAAAATGGTTTCATATGGTCTCTCTTTAAAACTAAACAAACCATTTGTTAAAAATTTCCTCGTTATATAGAAACTAGTTAAATCAGGGCTTAAAACAAACAAGTTCGACTGCATCAAACTGCTTACGCAATTTGTTTAAGTTGTGTAAGTGATTGATTAAAAAAATGAACACAGATTTCAAGTTATTAACGAGCAATGTATTGAAGTTATTACTCAATTCTATAAATCTGGACGATAAACAAGCTAAACTGTGACTTTAGTATTCATTGAACATCCTCATACATTTTATATACCTAACAATTTCAAAAACAAAATTATTTCAATAATTTTGATTATCGATTTGTTCTCGATTAAAGTGACTTTGCCACGTATTTCATTAATACCTTGTTATTCTATGAAATAATGGATTTCACTATTTAACGTTAGCATTTATAAGATATATATATATATATAATAAATAAATAAATAGAAGAAAACACGAAGAAAGTTAAGAAAAACAATGAGTTTCATTTAATGCGCTTAAGCTGCAAGTAAACAGAACTCATTAGATATGTTCAAAATGTTATCATTTTGAACATATATATATAACATCTGGCATTGTTTCAAGACCACTGTCTCTTAGATCTCTATGTGAAACATTTATTTTGTTAACAATGCTCTGTGTTCTATTACACATTTTTTAAATTTGATATCATTTTCGTAGTATGTGATACATAGCTGCCAACTCTACTGGATTTTCCAGTAAACTACTGGTTTCCTTAAAAAATCCCTATTGAAATAGAATTTTTGTGCATATTATTGCTTGCTTGAATATTTAAATAAGTATCACTAATAATAAAGCTATCCTCATTTATAAAATTCAGTTAACTATCTTTGATGAATTCAATGCCTATTGCTATTTAAAATTATGACTAACATAATACATAACATCTCAAGATCATTTTGTCATACATAACATTTCAAGATTTTCTATTTTGTTGACTATAAAAATCCCTAAAATTCCCTATGTGTAAAATATTTAGTATATTTTGCTACAATTATCATGAAATTTATATTATTTTGTAAAACCTACTGGATTTTTCCCTATCCGGATAATCTACTGGATATTCTATGGTGATATTATTTTTAAAAATGAAGTAACTTCGTTTTGAAAGTGAATGTCTAAGGCTTTTAAATATTAGAAGAAGAAATATTTATAGTAATTTAAATTTTAAATATTTGAAGGAATTTAAAAATATTGGTAAAGGTTAATTAACATGGGTAATGTTTCTAACACTGATTTAATTTGGTGAAACATCATAAAATAAATGAATGACTTGTAAACACCAACTGGACTTAATCTATTTTCAAAAATAATTGCTCCTATCCTGAAGTCTGTAATTTATAAGTTAGTTGATTAATGATAATATTTATGATACGTTACGTTTTTTTTTGCAGGTTGTTAGAACAGGAGTCGAAAAAGGCTCCTCTGCTGGTTTTGCTGCTGAGGCTGAAGGATTTGGAACCTTGGCTATGACAACCCATTCTAAAGCCCTTATTGGTTTATACAATGGACAAACTTTATGCAAAAAGAATCGCTTTGGAGCACCTGCAACAAAGACAAAGTAATCATTTAGCTCAATAGCCAATGGTATTTTATTATTTAATGTTTATGTATTATGAACTCTTGAATTATATCCTATTAGGACTGTTGCAGTGCTTGGAGCTGGACTCATGGGTGCTGGTGTTGCCCAAGTGAGTGTTGATAAGTCTTTTGATGTCCTTTTGAAAGATGTTACTCCAGACAGTCTTGCCCGTGGTCAAAATCAGATTTACAAAGGATTGGACGGTGCTGTCAAACGTAAAAGGATATCTTCGTAAGTAATGCACTGCATATGTTCGTTTATCACAAAAAAAAATACATTTCATTTTAAAGTTTTTCAAATGAATTCTTAAATATGTACATGATTTTTTACATCTGATTATAACATTGTTGATTCAACTGTATTATGGATGGGAATTATATAAATTTTAGAGGATTTTGTGACATGGAATGTATTTTTGTAAAATCAGTTGCAAAATGTCTACTGTAAAAAATAGTTCTCTAAGAAATTCGAATTTCTTAAATATTACATTTTTGATTTAAATTGTGTAGAAACTGCTAAATTTTTTCAAGTTAACTAGTTTTATTCATGTTGGTCAGTGTCACAAAAGAAACAAAGCTATGGATAAATTAAAGACAAATTAAGATCTTTCTCAAGCATGAGATTCTTCATTGGATTTATGATTTTAGCATTCGCTTTTTTAACTTCATTTATAAAAAATTTCCTAGTTTCTTAACTGATTTTTGTTATATTTTCAAGGTTGTTGAAAACTAAGCTTTTTACGTAAAATTTTGTCAACAAAACAAGTTTCTATAGTCATAATTGCTTTTGAATTAATATTCATATAATTCATTAATACAGGGCTGATTGTGCTCAGGAAAAAATCCGGATTTTTCGCTAACCGTGATCCGGAAGTTTCCAGAGACCGAAGGTGCAAACCTTTAAAAAAATCATTGATCACTAAAGTTTCCGGAAATCAAATTTTCAAAGGTGGAACTTGAAAACACAGTTTATTTTATTTGTTTGTAAGGGAGAGCCTGATACTTTATAAGCTTATATTCAAGATTAATATTCATTTTTTATCAGTAAATAGTTATTATAATAAACTGAAGAAAGAAAGACATATTTGTAAATTTCAATTACTTTTCCAGGTTATCATAAGTGTGTGTAAATGGTATAGGTATGTGTAAAATTTTAAATATATTTTAAGTAAACTAAGAAATATTGAGAAAAAGGAAAAAACCTTGTTTAAATTTTGTTCTAATTTTTCGATTTAAACTTTTTTTTTACTCAAGAAATTTTCCAGAATTTTCACTTGGGCTCACAATCACCCCTGATAGTAAATATAAGTCCTCTTGTTAATATCTAAAAAACTTCTAAGAAACTATTATTTTATAAAAAAATTTTTTACAGTAACACATCATTCTATTAAATTTGATACTTTTAACTGCATTTGAGAAAAAATATTGTTAATTTGTTGCACCAAAGTAGTCTTCTAATAGTTTTTTACGTTTATTTATTTTGCTTGTTTTATATCTTATGCTTTTTCTTCTTTTTGCATTCTCAGACCTGCTTATAAAATATGTTAGTATTAGATATTCACTATTGCAGAATTCCATATTTTCTGATCCATGTAAGTATCAATTTCTCATAAATTGATTATTTTTATACAATTTTGAAAAGGATGTTTTTATACCTTATTTACAAACTTTTCCCTAAAAAGCTATAATTTTACATTAACTAGACTATTTATTTATGCCAAATTTGTTATGTTCACTTTTTTGTAAAAGCTAATCATTCAGTTTGCTAAAATCTTTTTATTTTTGTCTAGACATGAAAAAGATAAGTACATGTCTAAGTTAAATGGAGTTTTGAACTATGACAAGTTTAACAATGTGGACATGGTTATTGAAGCTGTTTTTGAGGACTTGAACATCAAGCACAAAGTGATTAAAGAAGTGGAGAAGTATGTTCCTGAACACTGTATCATAGCCTCTAACACTTCAGCATTGCCTATACACAAGATTGCTGAAGCAAGCAAGAATCCTGAAAAAGTAAGCATTCAAACTTTAGAAGATTTGCACAATCATGATGTTTTGGTAGTTTATAATAATCTTTGTCCTGAAAAAGAACAACTGCTTAACATTTATTGCAGATGTTTTTGACATCATTTTTTTTGTAAGTGATTCCCTTTTTTGTATTAAAATATTTTTGCTTCTGCAATTTTTCACAAGTGTCTGAAGTATTTTTAAGATGGCCCAATAAATGACACATTATTCTGGATATTAGTGTATTGTTTGTTTATGTTATTTTTAAATTTTTTATTCGATTTTATATTTTGATTTTTCGATATTTTCGTCTTTCCCTTATTTATTATTTATCTAGTTTGATCTTCGTTAAGTGTCTTTTGAGTTCTTCCTTCTTGATATTATCTTCCTTTTTCTTTTGTTTGTTTGTGCAGCAGATTTTTCATTATTACCATCTCTGTATATTTCATGGCTTCTATACAGGGTTGGCAAGTTTTTGACACATGACGGTTTTTACCGGTTATTACCATGGTTTTTACCGTCATGTAAAAAACCCATAGATTTGGTAAAACTGTATTTTTATTTGAGTTTAACTGCTTATAATTTAAAATTAATTAATTTTTGGGCAATAAAATTAGAAAGAAAGTTGTTAAGATATTTAAGAACAGATTCTTGCATTTCCCCAACATGTTTATATCAAAACATACTATTTGAAGTAAAATATTAGGATACTAAACAAAATTTTCAACATTTCCAAGCATCACTTTGTTTGGCATATTACATTACAGGAGAATGTCAAGATTGATTACTTTCATTCATAAAATCTTGCTTTGAGAAACACATGTACACATAAAAAGAAAGCCTCATAAAATAAACTTTTCTTATCATTTTTGTTTTCAATATTTTACACAGAAAAGAGACATGAAAAAGCCTAGGAAATCCTTTTAGAGTTTCCTTGCAACATTGCAATAACCTTTTATTATCATTATCCTCAATGACAGGCTTCCATTGACAGAATCTTCTCGAATTTTGGACTCATCCATACTAAACTCAGAAATCGACTGGGCAATGAAAAATGCGCAAAATTAGTCACTTGCTATCGTATGCTTCGGCACAGTGACCCCGACTACTGAACATGTAATTTTGTTTGTAATTAAGTTTTGCTTAATATGCTTTTTCAACTGAATAAAAGCTTTTAACTTGACAAAATAGCAGTAATTCTTGACTTAGAGTTTGTTAGTAGTTACAAGTTTTGAAAGTTTATTTTAGCTTATTTCTAATATTTAAGAAATGCCAAATTTTAAATTCTTCTTTTTAGTTCTTGAATTTATTAATAGTTCCAAGCTTTTTTGTTTGTTTGTTTATTTCTAACAATTAAGAAGTGCAAAATTTTGAATCCTTTGCAAATCAAGCTATAATGATAAAAGTAAGTATCACTATTTTCAATAAGTATATTACAATATTTCTGTATGAATGTATATCCTTCTATAAGAATACATGTATATAGTTGCAAAATCAATAGCAATCATTTACAACATTCATTTATAAAGGCAATTATGTGAAAATAATATATTGTCCGCTATATGCCATAAATTTAAGAAAACAGTAGGTTTTTGACGGTTTTTACCGATAAAAACACAGTTTTTAACAATGTCATGTCAAAAACCAGTTTTTGACGGCAAAAACCCAACCCTGCTTCTATATATACATAGCAAATAGTCAAAAATGTGCATATCTTCATATTTTTTTAATCAAAAATTTGAAATATATTAGTTATTATTTTATCACTAATAATTATATTAATGGTTTTTTTGATAAAAATTCTTATAATGTTCACAATTTTTTAATAAGAATTTTTGAATTTTTCAAAAGAGGAAAACTTTGCATTCGATTATAAAATATTCAGAGGAAGTTTTCATGTAAAGTTAAATAACTTAATCAAATATTGTTAGTGTTAAATATTAAGAATCAAATTAGAAAAATTTCTTTGCTTTCCTTTATTATTTTTTTTCTTCATAATTTGTTAAAATAAATATGTCCTTAATTATTATTATTAATTTTTTAAACTTTGGCAGTTAGATCTTGTTTGTGAAAAAATTTCAACATGGACAATAATTATTTATTTACATTCCTTAGGTTGTTGGAATGCATTACTTTTCCCCAGTAGACAAAATGCAGTTGCTAGAAGTTATAACAACAGATAAAACTTCAAAGGATACTGCTGCAGCAGCTGTTCAAGTTGGTTTAGAGCAAGGCAAAATTGTGATTGTTGTCAAGGATCGACCTGGATTTTACACTACAAGAATTCTAAATCCAATACTTTTTGAGAGTATCTACATGTTCCAAGTATGTTTGTCCTCATCCTTTCATTTTGTTCTTTTAATTGGTAGTGTAGGTTATATCTGAGTACCATATAGTCTAAGCAGATGGGAAATTTGCATATTTTTCATTCAACCTCAACTTGGCAGCATTGGGAAAGGCAGGAAATGTAATAGTGCACCTGAAAAATAAGATATCTAGGAAATTGGATATATGGTGTTTAGAAAAGCTTAATGCATATGCAGTGATGAAAAACTACAGCAAAAAAATAGAAATTTGCTTTTTTTCAAAATTTTTTTAAATTTCTGACAATAATTATTACAGGACCCCCTTCCTCCATAACTGCCATTCCAAGTACGGGTAGCCTTCTGGATGCTACCCGTACTTGGAATGAACTTTTTTTCCCTGCAGTAGCCTCCCTAGAAAGAATAATCCTCAGGAGTAAATGTGTCGAGCTAGGCATGTGCCATGTTGTCTTAACTGCGACTTCCCCTGTAAAGTGAAAAGGGTGAGGTTTTTGGTTGTTGAGTTCTAAGCATTTTTGCTTCGGTCACCGACAATTTCCTTTTTAGTGTGACGTACATTGAATTTGTTCACATTATAGTTTTCTCAACTCTGCTAGTTTTTATTTTGTACCTTTTCTGTGTTTGCTTGTGTGCATATTTTTTTGTTAACTTATGTCCTTTTCTTGTGATGCATCATAAGAAGAATGCATTGTAACGATGGAAGTCAATTTGATAGACGAATACAATTCATATGATCAATGTTGCTGAAAAAAATAAATTCAAGTTTGATTGGTTAAATAAAACAATCTAAGTGATTAAAACTGTTCAAAGCAATCTTTCAGAAGATATTGGTTAGTGAATGTTTTAATTTAAAACAATTGACTGACAATTAATTTACAATAATAATTATTAAGCCTTATATATTGTTTAATTTTCATTTATATAGTAGTGGTAAAAGACGTTTAAAATTATATTTAAGAAAATTTTAAATTTCACTGACTTAATGATTGTCACTTTTAATATAAAATAAAAATCTCATGGCAGAGTTAGAAGTAACATTTTTTTTTTAAATATCTTATTGATATCACAGTATTGCATAGAACACTCCCTCCCGCCAACTCCCAGCATCAGAAATCTTTATTAGAAGTTTTTTCGCATTAAAATATTTTAATATATTTAATTTATAAATATTTTCAAAATAAATCATGTAAAGATGTTGACTACTTTTATTTTAGCTTTGAGCGCTGTTAAATAAGCATGCCTCAACATGTTGGTTTCTATGACAACAGCTGTGATTAGATTGTGTGCATTTAGCAGTGCTGCCAAGTTAGGTTAGAACAATGTACAATTAGAGCTTGCAAAAAAATTTTATTTAATGATTAATTATTTTTATATTTTATTTTTAAAGTCCTAAGATTTTCATAGTTTCTCCGGTCTTGTGTTTTTTTAGGAATTAATTTTCTGTTCATTATCTAGGAAGGGATTAGTCCTAAAGAGCTCGACAAATTCACCAAAGCTTTCGGTTTTCCAGTGGGTGGTGCAACTTTGGTTGATGAAGTGGGCATTGATGTTGCTACTCACATTGGAGAGCATTTGGGTGGCATATTTGGTGAAAGATTTTATGGCAAATCGGATCTCAATGTTATGAAGAGCATGGTGGCTGCTGGATTTCTAGGTAAAATTTTTTTCATAGATGAAGTTCAGTAGAACCTAGATCAATCATTTCTCATCAAATCATTAATTGCGAGCAATGGATTCAAGAAAATGACCATCAGTATAAAATATTAAGTTATGGCTGGAAAGCCAGCAAGTTTAAAATAAGCTGATTGAAAAAATTTTATACTTCATGCAAAAATAGTTGATGCAAAAAAATTAGAATAAAGACCATTTATTTATTTAAAAATTTTCAGCATTTATAACAGATTTCTATTCATTTTCATTAAGTTCATGCGAATGCAGAATGCTCCACATTGTTTAAAAAGACCTGAAGACATTCTGCAAATTTTGTCAGTGGTTGTTAATTCTGATTCACCATCTTCTTTAATATCACTTTGCTCTTCAACTTCTGTAACCATTTCATTAACTGACAGGACCACACAATTTAGCATTTTTATTAACTGAATTAAAGGGTTTATCCGAACTGCGACAAATCACTGTTATCTTCATTATTAGCATCAGGGTTACTGTTTTTCTTCTCAAATTCTAGTAAAAAAGATAATAATAATATAGATGGAATTTCTGAACAATAGATACAGGAAGATCGATGCTAGTTTTTAAAAACTATCTAAAAGAGTCTTATTAGCAATATCAGAATAGCATTTGTAACGAGACTGTTAGAGGAAGGTGATTCGCAAAAATAAAATATGTATGAATGGTAGATCAGGGTTTAACAGAGTTTCATATTTGAAACTTTCAATATTATAGAACTGATTAAAATTATTGATTATATGCAGGACGCAAGTCTGGAAAGGGAGTGTTCCTGTACACTCCTGGTGTTAAGGATAGAGATGTGAATCCTGGTGCTGAAGATATTTTCAAGAAGCACAAAGTAGATTCTTTGAAAGAGTAAGTGATCTCAATTTATGTAGTTTACACATTTTATTCTTACTTATTCATGTTTCATATCGTTTTTAAAAAGGGCTTAAAGGTGCTTCTTTTCGATTTTCGTTTTTTAAAAGTTTCGTGCTTTCTTCATGGGGTGTTTTAAAGTGCTTAATTTTCCCTTTTCAAAAATGATATATTTTTTTTCTTGTCTGTCTATTTTGTATATTGAATCTGTCTATTTTTCGCTGCGTATTATGCAAAAGTGTGTTTTTCCCATTGTTCTATTCAAAATTTTCACAATTCATTCAAACACAATCCATTTCAGCTTACCGTGATCTGTAACGTATGATATCGCCAATCATTTTACATGTTTGATGAAATCTTTGCGATTCCGTATGTGCGTTGACTGAGCAGGGTTCGGTGAGATTCTTGCACTCTCATGTGCAACTCTGCTGCATTTTGCAAGATGTTCACAATTTCTGGCTTCATTTTCCACTTTCTGAAATCAAACCAAAAAATCTTTTGATCTTTTTATGTTAGATAATATAATGAAAAAAAAAGTTCTTGGTCTGAAATTAGTTTAATCATGATCATGTAGAATCTTTGAAAATTATTTTGCATTTTATTAATGTATATAGTGCTTAAAAATATATTTTGAGTGCTTAAAAAGGTGCCTTTATTTTGTTGAAAGATTGGGATACACACCCTGTTATTGGTTGCGGCCCCTCATTGATTTCACTTTCTTTAGTAAACAGATTTTTTTTGAATTAGACTTAGTTTGCAACATCATTCAATCTTTTCAGTTCCTAATGTCATTTACATTGGACAGAAAATGGCCTGACATTGGACACAAAATGGTCCTAACTTTGGACATAATACATTAGACACGAAATAGCCTAAAAATGTACAACTGCGACCATCTGTTTTCTAATTAAAAGTTAATTTTAGAAAAAGAAACTTCCTTGCTTGTAGCTTGTATAAGATATTTTATAACTGTTTTTTTAAATTAAAATATTCTTTAAAAAATTATAGATATTGATACCCGAATTTTATAATGTTTAAATATCGAAATGCAGGGGTGCTAATTCAAAGTATCAAATGGTTGAGATCTTTTGACATTTTGGTTTTTATTTTTTTAAAGAAAATTTTGTTCATTTAAAACATGCTCGAAACAAATCAAGTTTAAACATTTGTTTCAGAATCAAAGATCTAGGTAATTTTTACTCAATAATAAAATATTAAAATTAATTTTTCCTTATGAGAAGTTAAAACCTGCTATAAAATTACATTGAATACAGTGTGTGCTAAAATGTCAACTCTTTTTTTTTTCTTTTTTCGTTGCTCTTTTTTTATTTTTAAACCGATTTGATGATGTATTAATTGCTCAAAGGAATAATTAAGTTATTATTAATTGTTATAAAAAGAAAATTTATTATGGCTCTCTTCTATAAATGGTTGTACTTCCTAAAGCTAATTTTTTTAAAAGCCATAATGTGCATATAATATGCTATGTTCAGGATATGCTTGTACAAATATTTATCTGATAAGTTAATGCAAAGACACAAAAAGAATATCTTGCAAATTCACTTAATTTTTTTTTTCATTTAAAAAACACTGTTTTAAATCCCCTGTTATAATATATTTTTTTGAATCTTTGATTTAAGTGAAATATTTAATATAATTTAATGATATATTTTTAAGGATGTGATTTTAGTGTCAGATTTTGTAAATATTGAAGGTTTTATTTAAAGAACTAATTTACAGAAAGTGTTGTAATATACTATTTGTTTTTTTGAAATTGATTGTTAAGTAAAAAATAAGAAAAAAAGAGAAAGAAATAAAATTTGAAAGGTTGCACTATATGCAATGCTGTCCACACAGCCACAATCGTGTAGTTGGTCACAAGATTGTGGAGTCTTAAAATCCATGACAACATGGCCCACAAAGGGCTGTTGCGGAAATACTTTATTTTATGTGTGTATGTATGTATATATGTATAAATTTAAATTTAAAAAGATAATAATTTTTTTAAACAGAATTTTTCTAACTTTGCTTTTAATTAATTTAAATGATTCAGCTTCTTTTAGATATTAAACAATTAAGAACTATTTTATTAAAAGGTGCACTACTGAAGAGCTTCAGATGAGAATAATTACAAGATGTATAAATGAAGCTATCCTCTGCTTGGAAGAAGGTATCCTTGCCAATCCTGTAAGTACTTATTTATAAAACCAATCCTTATTATTTAGATTGTTATAATCTCTATAAAGTCTAAATTGAGCTTATTGCTGATGGCTAATAAAGCACAGGAATAACATGACTAACTAATTTTATTAAAGTGTCAGCATGTTTTTCGACTAAACATTTCCATTGAATCTAAGCCCATCATAATTATGTATACAATGAAGATAAAAACTAATTCAATTTCTTCTCTCTTATTCTGTGTAAATAAGTATGCATTGTTTATGTATGAAAAATACATAACTATGCTAATAATATGATTTGTGTTTATTAAACATTATTAAAAAATGGATTTAGCTACCCTTTAATAAATTTTTTGTAAGGCTATGTATAGTTTACATAGCAATTAAAGTTTCGAAACTAAGTATTTAAAATTAATCACAACAAAATATTATTTTAATTTTTTATGTATTTTCATTATAAAGAAATATAAGTTTTTATTTATTATTATTTTTTGAAAAATTGAACAGTAGCAAGATTTTTAGCAGAAAAGAAATAGGCAAACTTATATTCAGTTCTCAGTAAACGTTATCTAAAATAATTTTTTTATATTTAAACTTTTTGTTAAAGCTTTAAAATTAGATTTATTAAGCAATCAGATTTTACAGCTATTTTTCTGTTCGATCTCGTTAAATACTGGTCTTCTTAGTAAAAAATTGTTTGCCATTTAAATAAATTTTGCGTTTGAAGGATCAATCTGTTGTGTTAAGAAATGAAAATTAATTCAAGGGATATTTAATGAGCAAAGACTTCTCTTTTAATAAATTATTCTTTTTATTTGCACAGTTGGAAGGCGATATTGGTGCAGTATTTGGTCTTGGTTTCCCACCTTTCCTTGGAGGACCCTTCCGCTACACAGACACCTACGGGGCTGATAAGTTAGTGAAATGGATGGAACAATTTAGTGCAATTTATGGTCCACAATTCACCCCCTGCCAATTGCTCTTAGATCACGCCAAAGATTCCAGCAAGAAATTTCATCCATCCAAGTGATCTATATAAAACATAGGCATTTATATGAATACTTTAACTGAATTACTTATTCTTTTCTTCTTCTTTAAGTCGAAAAATTTCTTTTTTTCTTATGAAATTGAAATGTTTTTCAAATGAATTTAGTTTCATTCTTAAATTTCACATACGTATTTTTTTTCTTCCTTTTCTAACCCGGAAAATTTCTTGTTTTCCTATAAAATCAAAATGTGTTTTAAATGAAAAAAAAAATTCTGATTATACGTCGAGTTTTGTTTTTTTCACAAGTTATTCATTCATGTTAACTGTAAAAAATAATTGTTGATTCTGCCTTCATTCATAAAATAATGTTTTATAGGTGCTGCAAAAGTGATTGTTAATATATAAAATGTTTTAAGATTACATGCATCAGATATTTATACAAACATGAAATAAATTATATTTTGACATGTACATAGCCTCTCATAATATTTTTATAGATGTAAATTAGATATTTTTATTTTGATTTTTATAATAATAAATTTCTGAAATAAAGAGTTTTTTTTTTATATCACATTGTTGTGTTTTGTTTTAAAATTGTTTTATGTTTTAATGTTCAATTATTTATTGTCTTGAAATAGTTTAAATATTATTTTCTTTAATCAGTTTATAAAATTAATATCATTTCTCCAGAAGACAGAAAAAACTTACAATTTACAGGAAAATATATATTTTGATGTTGAAAAAAAAAATAACTTGAAAATTGCTGTTTTTTTCTACTAAAATTTGGAAAATCCAAACTTCTGAGCTTACTTTAACATTTTCTTGAGGCTACGAAACTTGATTTTTGACCAGACGAAGTCAAAGTAATGCATTGTGTTTAGTCAAAATCTGTGGAGAAAAAAAAATCGCCACAAGCTTGGAGCAAACCAGTTTATTAAAAATCAGGTTAAGAATAAGTAGTGTGATAAATAAATAAAACATCATTAATTATTATTTTTTGTAAAATTTCCGTTCCAGCTGCATGGTTTGATTTTCTTAAAATATTAATTTGTACAACATGTACTTTATTTAACAATTTCTTGCTACAAGTTTTTTTTAAAAAACGAGGGTCATATTTTATCTAAGAACCCTTTTTATATTGGAGAAAGAGAAACTTTATATATGTGCGTAAATTTAATTGTATCACTAACAAAAATATGACCATTTATTCTCTTTTCAACATAGTCACCATTAACATACCAACATTTGTCAAGTCTTGACACCAGCTTTTGACTGCCATCCTTAAAGAACAATTGTCTCTTGATCGTTAAACCAGTTAGTAACAGATTCTTTCAAAATGTCGTCATTTTCTAAGCGCCTTTCACCAAGAAATTTCTTAAGTTTTGAAAGCCTATGAAAGCCTGATGGTGCTAAGTAAGGGCTGTGGACAATCCAATATAGTTTCCCTTCGTAGACCGTCTAGATTGTTCTTCATCATGAACATTTGCTTCCTTCATTAAAAAGTCTACACCATTTACGTACCAGGGTGCGTAGCATTTTTAAAAAGTGCTTAAAGCTGCTTATTTTTGATTTACGTCTTTTAAAAGCCCTTTTTTTTAAAAAAGAGTTTGTAAAAAATGTATAATTTCCTCTTTTTTAAAAAGAGATTTTTTATTTCATACTTAATTCATTAATTGCTGAAGTTTGTTCTGATGCTTCAGGGATATTTTTTTCTTTTAACAAAATTATTCAAAATGTTTTAGTATTTTTAACTTTATAAAATTCTCCAAAAAATAATTGCTTATAATTTAGAAATTTTATCTTGAACTCTTTTTCTGAAAGCTTTTGTCCAATGAATTATTTTTCTCAGCAAAGCCAACCAATCACTAATATTAAAATTGTTGTATTGATGCTGATTTTTTTGATTTCATGATAACTTTTATTTTGATATTTTCGAATTTATTTTGATATTTTCGAATGTAAAGAAACTATTTAATTAAAAAGTAATATTTGTAGCATTAAGATTAAAATTAAAGAAATTTTCAGTCATTATAATGGTTATCATTAACTTAAATTTCTATCCAATTTGAGAAATTTACATCTGGCACAGAAGTAAAAAAATTCAAATAATTATGTATCATATTTCACAAACAACTGCATATAATTTTTTATTCAAATGCCAGCTTCAAAATTCAGTCAAGTTTGCATTTAAATTACAAACAAATTTACAGAGTTTAGACATTAACAGTGGTAAATTAGTAATCATTTTTTGCTTTCACGAGATTCACATCCGACATCAACAATTTAATCCATTTAATTTGAACTTATAATAATCAGTTTTTATAAAACAAATTGTGTTTCGTTAGGTTATGATATACTAAGTATTTAATGTAAAAATTTGATGATTATAAACTTTTGTTTTATAAGATAGTTTTTCTAAGAAATTAATGTTCATTTTTTTACGACACCATAAAATTGCCCAGGTGTAAAAACAAATCCAATTAACTCATCTAAACTAGGAAACCATTTTAGATTGAAATTCTTAATATATTTTAATTTCCATTAAGAAAGGAAAGAAAAAAAGAATAAAAGTTAAAGAATTTTGTCTAGTTTTTTTTCTCTATAGAATATGCAACAAGAAATTGACAATTTTTCCTTTACAAATACTAAATATGTCTTAAAATAATAGTGCTAATTTGAAACAAACAACATTATTTAAGCATTTGACTTATGATGTTGGTTTAAAAAAAATTATTTCAATGAATTTTATAAAGAGCACTGTTTGTATCAAATGCAGTATAAAATAGCTCTATATTGAAATGTAATTGTAAATAAATATAAAAATTTATTGGTTTCTAATCACCTGAAATTATTTTCTTTTATTTAATAAAAATATATTAAACAGTACTTATTAACGTTGTTTTGGGTCATTACTGTTTGGTACATTTTGTGCAAAAACTATTTAACACTTAAAAAAAATTTTTATTCATTAAAAGTGTTATTTTCTGCAAGCTAAACATATTGTTTCCTCCACATCTACTCAAGATGATATATTAAAAAAATAACATTTTAAATGAAATACTACACTATTGTATTGACTAATACACTATTGGCACTTTTCTTATACCTACTACTACACTTCAGCAGGAAAAAAAAACAACAAAAAAACACGCTGATCTAGAAATTTTAAGAATTTTACTGGAAAAATCAGGGAAATTTGATACCTGATTTGAGTGGCCACCCTGTAAAATCTTCATTGGCTTAAAAAATATAACGATGAAAATGTTTCGAGCGCACAAAAATAAACACCCATTCTCAAGACTCGACAGGAATGAGTGACTTGTGACGTCAATTTTTTAGCAAACACAACAAAAGTAATTATTATCATGTTTATAGTTTTTGAAGTCGGTAAAATTTTTATATTTTAGCCGTAGTTTCATTTAGTAATACGGTATATTAAATTACTTCACTCGATATTACATTAAGTTTTACGGAAGAGAATGGCAGGTGTTCTTAGATTGAAAAAAATAATTAGTTACAATTTCCACAAAAATAATTAATGCAGTACAATTTTTTTTATTGCTAGCTTTCAAAACATTTTTTAAGGACGTCACTTCAAAAGATTTCATAAGTCGAATAAGAAAATGGAATGTCGCTTAACACCAGGAATCAAAGTTAAATGGTTACACAAGGACAGTTACTTCAATCAAGTTAACGTTTCTATCTTAGTCGAAATTGATAGAAAGTATATTTTTTATTTATCGATTCCAAAATGTATTCTAGATATATTTTAGGGTTATAATTTAGGCGTACTTCGTTAGAATTTATTTTTACACCTATATTTGTTTAAAATTATTAAATAATGTTTTTTTTAAATAAATTATACAAGCTACATGATTTAATGCATATATAGTATAATAGTAAACGGGGCTTCTAACGCTTATCCTTATCCTTGAAATCGGTGTCAACAAATTAATGGAATAAGCTTAAATGAATAATAATAATTAAATTGTTTCTCATTTCAGCTTTCAAACAATAATATGTTTCATTCAAACAGATTTCGGTTCTGGAAATAACGAAATTATTCCTAAGGTTCCTTGGCTCTCTCTCTCTCTATTTTTTTTTTATCCTCTTTTGAAAAAATATAGAGAAAAATTTGTATTCATAATTTCGGTAAAAAGTATGTCAGCTCTCTCGCTGTATTCATTATTATTATTTTTTCTTTGTCAAAATAGAATCAAAAATTACGTATTTTTTACTAAATAATTCAAATTAGTTGATGATTCTAAAAATTGCACAGCTTTGGAATCTTTTTACAATTTTTTATTTTTAGTATTTGCTGATTAACAAAACAAGGCATTTTATTGATAACAAATTATACTATAATAACTTGCAAATAGTGTCAAGTTCAGGGATGAGATTCTTTCGCGGATTTCCGCTTTTTTTTTAGATTTTCCCATTTTCCCCGCTAATTTCCGCCGAAATTTTTTTTGAATAAGTTAAAATATTTTACGAGGAATTTAATTTTCCGTGGAGCGAAAGCATTGATGTCCTCATTCCTTCCTCTGAAGTTTCTCAAAAAATAATTTCCTTGGGATAAAACTGGTTGACCTTTATACAGGGATGAGATTTTTTGCCTTTCGAATTTCAGCCTTTTTGTCAAAAACTTGGATTCTCTAAAAGTTTCGTTTTCTTTAATAAATATCCCGCTTTTTCTTTCTTTTTTTTTCTGAAAATTCAATCGTTAAAATAAAATAATTATATTTATTTACGATTTTTAAAGATAAACAGAAAATTCAAACTACACCCTAGTTGCTAACCCTTCCGTATTTTTACTTATTTTAGTTATTTTCTCTTCACAGAAAATAAGATTTTCCGTATTTTTATTCGTCCGCCGGATAGCTCGTATTTTTGCAATTCAGACGTCGTAACCCTGTTGTCTGGCGTAAAAGCAAACGGAAAAAAATAAAAAAAAATAAATAAAATAACAGAGGTGGATTTGCGGTGAAAATATTTATTTGCTCATTCAATTAATCTTGTAAATTTTTATTTATTATGTCTAAACAAAAACAATACAAACAAGGCTTTTTAATATTTTTTATCAAAAAGTACGCAATTTTAATATCAATCATCGATTTTTGTATTTACCTGATTTAAAAGTTGCGCAATGCGATTCTCATTTACGCTATTTAAACATCGTACATTATGATTCTTAGTTACGAGATTTAAAAATCTAATATCGTGCTTTGTATTTATGCATTTTTAAAATCGCGATTTTGTTATCAAACATCGATTTTCGTATTTACCTGATTTAAAAGTTGAACGTTGCGAGTCTTATTCTGGCGATTCAAATATCGTACATTGCGATTCTTATTTACGAGATTTAAAAATCCAATATAGCGATTTGTATTTACGCGCTTTTAAAACCCTATGTAGCGATTCGCATTCATGCGAGCTTGAAATTCTATGCCGTGATACGTTTTTGCAGCTGT